TACTGGATCTAGAGCTGGCCAGGAGGACCTTTACATGCTGGCTACTGTCCTTTTACCCCTGTCCCTGTATTCTGCAAGGCAACTACAATTTAAAGGCAACTCTTTCTGGGTGGGTTGAGCCTTTCACTCTGGTACTGGATGTCCTGATGAATAATCAAGTTTCTCTACGTGGATAGAAAATGCCTCACTCTCCCTGATTTTTCCTCCCTCCCTTAATTCCTCCCTTGTGAAACAGGATTTTCCTTCAAGAAGACTTTACCAATAACTGCCATTCCCATGGTTATCTTCAAAGATGGGATTAAAACAGGACTCCAGGAGCCTGCTGCTGGCGCCCACAGTGGGTGGACACAGCCATCATTATGCTGTTTGTTTTTCCCCTGTGTAAACCACGAGATGGTTACTAAAGGGTTTGTCCTTTGCTTCCCGGTTGCTTTTTTACACACCAAAGAGAAAGCTGAATTTGATTCTGCTTTAGCAATCAAGGTCACCCAGGAAGAAAGCAGCCAGACCACTCTTTTGTGACTCAACCTTGCTTCCAAAGATACTGCTATTTTCTCATTTCCATGTAGCTTGCCAGGACCCGTCGTTTTCCTTTTTAAGTCTTGGAAAAAGAGAACCCCTTGCTAAATCAAGGTTTGGATGGGGCGGGGTGTCAGGTGCAAAAGGAAATGGGTCCAGTTTTAAGCTAACACATCATATAGGGAAGGAAACTTGTAGTTGGGGTGTGCAGGTGCCCCACCCCGCTCTTCAGCCAGTCACACGGCTGTGGCCCTTACAGCCAGTGGAGAGGAGGAATGTCACTAGGAAGAAAAACAGGGAGTGGGGAGCACAACCTGGAACAAGGAAGAGGCTGTCCCCACCAAGCTCCGAGCTCCAGCAAAAGAGCAAAGCATGGTGCTCAGGTATGGGACCAGGTCTGCAGCATATTACTGTAGTACCCCAAGACAGTGGGGGGGGAACCAACCTGGAAATGCAACCCTATATGAGGAAATTCCGTGAAGAAGGCCTGTAAAGACAAGGCAAGGGGGCCCAGGACCCAACTCGTTAGCCTGTGGGAAGCTGGGCGCAAGTGTTGCAAGCTGTCAAAGTGTTGTGCATAGTATCGCTCCAGATATTCTTCCCCCTCTCTCTCCCTCCTATCTTCCCTTCCACTCTCCTTCCTTCTCTTCCTCTACTTCCTGTTCTCTCTCTTTTCCTCCTTCCCTGTCTCTCCCTTCTCCTATCTTCCCTCCTTCCCTCTCTCCCTCTTTTCCTTCCTTCTCCCCTTCCTCTCTTTCTTATTCTCTCCCTCTTTTCCTCTTTCCCTCCTCCCTCCCTTCCTTCTTCCCTCCTTTCTTTTTTCATTCCCTCCTTCCCTTCCTCCCTCTCTCTCTCTGGCTTTCATTCCCCACATACAGCTCTTAAGCTCTCTGTCATACAGCTCACATGGAATTTTTCAGTAAGTCACATTTTACAATTGCTTCAGTTTCATGATTACAACCAGTCTTTTTTACTCCAACACTTTTAAGCCATTGTTTTGCCTTTCCTTTGACTTTTTCTTTGCCACCTATCCTCTTGGCTGATTGTTTTCTTTTGAAACCAAAAGCCAAGACAAGCAAAGTCACTGCAGGCAAGACATGGGCAGGATTCCAGAGCTGGTCCTGGGGTAGGAGAGGGGGAGGTGCTGGGAGAGAGGAAGAAGGGTTCATGGTACTTTTAAGTCTATCCCATTTATTCACCTATCTTTAAGTTGCTAGCAGAAAATGGGGCCATAATTGGGAAGCTTAAGTAGGAGTAAAATCTTCAACTTTGGAAAGGAGATCATGTAATGAGAGTGCTCTGATAAAGTAAAAGATCACGCACGCATCTCACTATCTAAACTCCCAATGATTTCTATGTGGGGAACTGTCATTGCACTTAAGGTTTATGTCCTTTGATTGGTGTCACCCTTAACAGAAATATACCATGTAGCCTTATTAACAGCACCACAAATTATTTTTTGCTATGCCATATCCAAATAAGGTTAGGTGATACACTGGTCCATGCGTATTCCCCCCAACACCACCATAGGGTGAGGATATTATTATACCTGTTGACAGACAAAGTAGCAGAAACACAAAGTCAACCAATGAAGAGGCGGCCAGAGCTGGACTCAGACCCAGGGTTTTTGGACCCCAGAGGGACCTCCTCCAACCTACTGGGTGACACGGTCAGCACAAACTTAGCAAGTATTGTTAGACCACAGACACACAAAAAGCCCTATCCTATTCTGGGGGAGAGGGGCTGAAGTACTTAGAAAATCTATCCATTCCACAAATGTGTATTACGTATTTTATGGGTGCCAGGCACTGCCCTTGGTCCTGAGGAATGAGACTAAAAGGCCCTCCGTTCATAGTGCCCACTTCAGAGTAGAAAAGATAGACCAAGAGAAATTGATGACAAAACGAGCAGTCATAGCATGTGCTAGGAAACAAACTGAAGAACAGTTGAGAGAGGGTGATAAGAGATGGTGTGTAGCCCAAAGGATTCTTCAGCTCTCAAGATGAGTATGACAGGGATTTGGTGCTCATGAATTAACTGATCTATATCCTTTACTGTGAGGGGCTGAAAATGACTATGAACTTGAAGGTATGATGTAGCAGACGCTTACTCGCTTATAGTTCTAGACTAGCCAGAGGTGAATTGGTGCCCGTGGGGTAAAAATGATGTCCTCAGAGACCCGTTCCTTCACAGATCCCCCAGAGTTGAATCCAATCCTTGTTCTTCTGTGGCTTGTGACTATCTTATCATCTCTGGCTTTGTGATTATGGTGCCTCCCCTCTTCTGTCTGGGACCAAAACTCCCTCCTCCTTTTACTCATAAGCATGTATATGATTGTACTTAGGATCCACACACACACAATCTAGACACATCTCCCCATCTCTGACTTCTCAGCTTGACCACATCTACCAAGGTTTTTCCTTTCTTTTTTTAAGTTTTTTTGGCCATTTAACAAAACAATCACAGATTCCAGGAATTAGGACAAGATACCTTTTAGAGACTACTGCAGTTGGGTGTTAGTGAATTCTATTGTTTAGTGTAGTAAATCTAGTAACATATTGTTATACAGGAATTCAATTTCAGGAAACAGAAGCCACATTTTGAGAAGTTGAATTGGGAGTCTTTTTTAGGAAGCCAGCAACTGCAGGTGGACTCTTGTTTCAAAGAAATGCAGCCCAGAATATGCTAATACAAAGCTTTTAAAGACTAAAGTCACATTTGGGGTAGAGACCCAAGCCCAACAGAAGCAAACCATACAGGGGAATAATTAAGAGTGAGTATTCTCTGTAGCAGAGCTTTCCTGGGGTAAAATAGCATAACACCTGCAATTCAAAGAATGGCCTATCTTACCTCTAGGCTTTTTGGACCTGGATGAAAAACCCCCATCTCCCAGCAAGGCACCAGGATGGCTGTAAGGACAAGACATTGTTACTTAGACTCAGCATCCTTATTTCAATATAACCAACTATAGTTCTTCAGCACTATAGTAGCCAGAAGCTGGTGGCTCATGCCTGTAACTCTAACTATTCAGGAGGCTGAGATCTAAGGATCAAGGTTCAAATCCAACTAGGGAAGGAAAATCCATGAGGCTCTTATCTTCAGTTAACCACCAGAAAGCCAGAAAATAGAACTGTGACTCTAGTGGTAGACAGCCAACACTGAGCTAAAAAGCTAAATGTGAGTGCCCAGACCCTGCGTTCAAGCCCCAGTACACACAAATGGCAGAAGTCATTGTCCCAGTGGGTAATGTGTTATGAAGTAACATCCTGGGAAAGAATAAAGGGACGAACAGTGAGTCCTCTCTCTTGCTAGTATGTGTGTTAATAGAGACAACGGGACGTATGTATTGATTTGTGCATGGATATTAGAAACTGAGAATGACTTAGGAATGCTTGTTCATTAATTTTGGGAACTGTCTCAGCAAGTCAAAGTGACTCATTTTTACATGAAGAGAAGGAAGTGATAGAGAAATTCATCCTGGAAAATGGGCAGGGGACAGTGCAAGGGTGGGAAGTGAGATCACCGGGGGACGATGTCTTTGGCCTGGTAGGGAATGGAGTTCATGAATCAGCAGTAGAACAGGCCAGTGGTGAGAAAGAAGAAGCACATTAATGTAGGTAGTACAGGCAAAGCTTATGCTAATCTCATCAACAGGTCAAAACACCACCAAGGATATAAATTGTGGGGCTCATAGGCCAGCCATTTTTTAATCCTTGCTGTCTGTGTGAGTCAGCTTTCTGTTACTGTGACAAAATACCTGACCTAAGCCACAGAGAAGGAAAGGCGGTTTATTCTGGCTCATAGATTGAAAAGTGCGAGGCTATGGTGCTTTAGGCCTCTGGTGGCATTGTACAGATGGCAGAGCATGTGGCAGAGGGGATCTGTTTACCTCCTTGCAGCTGGGAAGTAAGACAAGAAGAGGAGGTCCTCTATCCTAATATCCCTTTTAAGGGCATGCCCCAGCAACCTAACTTCCTCTCACTAAGCCCCACCTCCTACAGGCCCCATCCCCTAGGAGTGCCATGGGCTGATAAGCCTTCAACACATGGACCTTTGGTACATACAAGATCCGAACTATTTTAGAATCATAATACTTGGAGACAAACTGCCTAGCAAGAATCCTCTCAGATTTTCTTACCTCCTGCTCCTGAGCACTGGGCTGAGTCTGGTAAAGTGCCTGGTTCTCTGTTAAAGAATAAAATTGGGCAGGGGAGTCACAGATCCTTTCTCTCTCTCCATTCTTCTGTAAAATGGGATGAGTTTACTCCAATAGAGACAGATATTAATAATGATTGAGAACTCCGAACCACTGATCTTAGAGATTTGAGGTTGCTGTGGGTGGTGTCACTTCTGACCCTCTGTTACTCTTTGGCCAAAATGTGCAACTCTTCCTTATGAGTATCCAGGAAGGAAAAAATGAGCCTGACTCCTTCTAATGTATCACTCATGATATTCTCTCCTTCTCACACCTTCTTTTCCAGATGGTGACAAGAAATCATCCAGATGGGGTGCAGGTGCTGTAAAATGATACAAAGGTAAATGAAAAAGATTTCATCAGCATAGGATGTGTGGTCATCATGAAGTCATTTTTTTTTGCCAGTCTTGGGCTTGAACTCAGGGCCTGGTCACTGTCCCTAAGCTTCTTTTGCTCAAGGCTAGCACTCTACCACTTGAGCCATAGCACCACTTCCGGCTTCCTGTGTATGTGGTACTGAGGAATCAAACCCAAGGATTCATGCATGGTACGCAAGCACTCGACCACTAAGCCACACTCCCAGCCCTCATGAAGTCATTTTTAAAGACCATACACATAATAGCAGGTCCAAAATAAAAAAAATAAAGATCTTAATATTGCTCTGTTTTGATATCATTTAGAGAACATGTAGCCAATATTTTTAATTTGTTTTTGTTTTGTTGGTCATGAGGCTTGAACTCAAGGCCTGGATGCTGTCACTGAGCTTTTTTGCTGCAGAATAGCATTCTACCACTTTGAGCCACAATGCCATTTCTGGGTTTCTGGTGGTAATCTGGAGATAAGAGTCTCACGGACTTTACTGCCCAGGCTTGCTTCAAACCAAGATCCTGAAATCTCAGATTCCTGAGTAGCTATGATTACAGGCATGAGCCACTGGTGCCCAGTTTTTGATTTTTGTTTTGTTTTAGTTTGGTTTTGGCTTTGGTTTCTTTGCTCAGTGTACAAAGCTTGTTGGAAACACCATTGTTCTCTAAGGCTGAATTTGGTGCAGGTAAAATTTACATTTCTCCAGGAAGGAGCAAAGCAAAGAAAAGCTCGGATTTCACAGGGTGCCTTAAACAGCCCTATTGAAAAAAAGCCCAGAGTTTATGTGTGCTTTTAATTTTCTCCATATTACATTTCATAAAAAATAGAATCACATGAATCATACGGGAAACAAATTGTGACATTTTCCTTCTTCATCCTCTTTTAACCAGCTTCCTGAAATTATTTTCTTCAATTGCAAACACAAAGAACAACCAAGTTTTGCTCTATGAGAATCATGTGATAATTGGCTTTTTATTTATTTATTTACTTACTTGTTTACTTTATTTATTTATTTAGTCGGTCATAGGGCCTGAACTCTGAGCCTGGGCACTGTCCCTCAGCTCTTCAGCACAAGGCTAGTGCTCTACCACTAGAGCCACAGCGCTACTTCTGGCTTTTTTCTGCTTATGTGGTGCTGAGGAATCGAACCCAGAGCCTCATTCATGCTAGTCAAGCACTCTACCACTGAGCCACCTTCCCAGCCTCGATAGTTGGCTTTATTAAAAACTTTTTTGGTTCCAACCACAGACAGCCTTCCATATCTGTAAGGTATTCATTTCTGGAGTCAACCAACCACAATACAAAAATATTCATGAAAGCCAGATGCTGGTGGCTCATTCCTGTTATCCTAGCTACTTAGTTCATCTTTTCCCACTCTTCTCATCCCCAGCTATCTCTTTGATCCAGTCCAAGTCCCCTCCCCTGGCTATGTCAATGAAATAAGTGGCTGCAAGTTGGAAGAAGACGACACTGTGAAGTTGAAAGGCAACCTAAGCAGTGAGGTCCTGGTGCACAAAAATGCCCTTCCTGATAGGGGTTTGGGAAGGACCGAGAGCAGAGGTAGGACAACTGGTCTACCTCACCAAGGACCACTTCCACAGGAGGAGACTGGAGGGGAACACTGTGTCACAATCAATGGCATCAGCCCCACTCTGCAATCCAGGAATCCAAAACCCCAGCAGGGGGACAGTGGCTCCTGGGCCAGCACTGCAGACAGCAGCCACCCGACCCAACCCTTCCTTGAAGGAGAGGACAACAGGAAACAAGACTGTGTGCCAGAAGAGACCCAAGGCATCCAAAGTGGAGAAAACAGAGTCACCTCAGAGGTAGAAAGTAGTGCCTTGGACATACCAGATCATATCCTGCAGATACCAGCCCCGGATTACCCTCAGCTTTGGGATCCTGCTACAGATGATATGGATCATGAAGAGAAGGACTATCTTTTCCAGAACCACCTGGAAGATAAGCCCCTGGGAGAAATTCACCCCAGGGCTGACGATCATGGTTTGAATCTATCCTTCCCCAGGAAAAGGAGCTGGGATTCACTAAACAAGGTCATGACCACAGAAGTTCTGAACGTCTACTTCGAAGAGAATGATCCTCTTCATGCCATGCCTGGGGATGATTCCAGAATGAAAGAAGAGGGCTCTCACAGTGCAGAAGGAGACACGGACGTGGAGGTGGAATATGAGGACATGGCTGTGGCTGAAGCACTGGCAGCCTTAGAAGCTGCTACGGCAGGAGAAGATACAGATGAGGAAGACTAGCGGAGGGGATTGGGTGCAGGCTATAAGCTAGTGCCAGGCTGAGCAAGTGCAGGTGCACTGCCCTCTTGTAATGAGCAGGTATCATTCTGCTAACGTGCCCAGTGCCCCCTGGCCCGTTGTTTACATGGCATCTGTCCTGACTGTCAGTCCTGTGCCATGCTGCTTGCTAAAGATGCAGAGCATCACTCTGCGATGATGGGCTGTCACTCAGGACACTAGAATAAAACTCAGAGCAGACCACGGTGCCTAGGTCCGTGGCAATTGCAGAATTTTAGCAGCCTGCTTCCCAGCTCGCAATGGGATCCAGAATATTTGATCCAGATGTCCAGAAGGCTATTCTGCAATCCCAACATCTAATCCCAAAGCACGTACCACAGAGCATTCTGTTTGACTGTAAAATTCTTCTGGTTGAGGTGTGTGTGTGTGTGTGTGTGTGTGTGCACGTGTACATGCACATGCATGCACTCACACATGTGTAAGTGTGCCAGTACTGGGGCTTGAACTCAGGGCATAGAGCTCTTGCTTAGATTTTTTTTCTGCTCAAGGCTGGCACTCTATCACTTGGACCATGCTTCTACTTCCGGCTTTTTGCTGGTTATTTGGAGATAAGCATCTCACAAACTTTTCTTCCCTGGCTGACTTCAAATCTGATCTCGGTCCCTAGGATTAAGCATGAGCCTCTAGCTCCTGGCTTGACTATAAAGTCTATACCTTGCTTTTGAGAGCCAAACTTTTTACCCTACCTAGAAAAAAAAAAAAAAGAACTACACCCTTTTTTAAAGTGCCTATTATGTCCCCCCAGCATGGCTTCATACTGTCAGGGACAATCACCCAGGGAACTAATAACTAACTACTTGTTGGACAGGGAGCCAAGCTCAGTGGCCTTCAGAGTGGAATGAGAAAGTGACCAGTAAACAAATGGTTAGTCATTAGCTGAGGTATGAAAACACCTTGACCTTAACTTTTTTACATTATTACTTTTTAATCTCCTTTGGGATTTGGGGAGGCTGGCCAAAAGTTATTGTTAAAAACTTCTCGTGTCATATTTTGGTCTTAAGTCTGTGAGTTTCGGGAACAGCAAAGCCATACATGGAGTGTTTTATGCCATTAAATGTCTGATTCTGATTAAAAGGAATAATACACTTGTCTTTCTGTTTTGACTAAGACGTGGATCCAGGGTCTCCAGACTGACCTTTGATGTTTCTTTCCATTTAAAGAGCTAAATTGGCTCTCTAGACAGGAAAAAAAAAAAAAGAGTTTAGGAGCAGTGATCATACTTGGTCTACGAGTGTCACTCTCCCAGCCTACACTCAGCCCTTCCAGTCATGTCACTGCTTAGCATGTGATCATTTGGCCATATTTGGTGCAAGAGAGGCTAGAAGAGGTGGTCGTGCTAGCTCTATAGTTGGCTTTCTCAAATAAATTGGGGTTACTGAAGGGGGAAGAATCAACGTGGAGTTTGAGGCTGTCAGGATCTGCCACACCAGATCCTCAAAACTCAAAAGCCTGGGATAGGCTGGTTTGCAAGAAGTCAGAATATGGTGTTCACACTGTAGATTGCATAGAGAACTCGCTTCACCTTTCGCTGGTCCAAGGGAAGGAAGACCCACCACCCCAACTTCCCACGGTGTCTCCACATGAGTAGATTCAGACAAGGAAAGGGCAAGGTGAGGTGTGCGTGCAAACACACCCTCTGTATCTACTCTACATCTCAGAACTGTGGCAGAGTCCCTGGATCCAACAACTCTCTCAAGTGGTAAAGGTTTATTGTTTGTTTGTTTTCCTGCTGTTATTAATTGGTTGGTTTGGGGGGGGTTGTTTTGGTTTGGTTTTGGTTTTTTGCACATACCAGTTTCAAAAAGGTTCATGGGTACCTAAGAATTTCAAGCTGTTTTTAAAAGCAATTTTGACTGCTTCCCATATGGAGACCCCATTAACAGACATCAGAGGACAGGCAGAATGCAATGAAATTCCACATTTGGGCTTATCTCCCAAGCAGTCCACCCACTGTTCCGGCATCCTGCTGTGTGTAATGTTTTACTGCTTGGTGCCACTTTACCAGGAAGGTAATGTGAAGAGAGGGAAGCCCTGCACACAGTGTAGACAATGTGAAAGTACACACACACACACACACACACACACACACACACACTGTGACAGAGGCCTCAACTGGGATTGGATGGCTCATCACCGTTCACCATCCTTTGCCATCGGCATGGCATGGGATTTACCAGGCTAAATCTTGATTTTGATTTAAGATTATTATATATTATGTAGAGGTTTCTTGAGCTAAGAACCTCACATTTCCTTTTTTACTAATGGAGGAAATTGAACTACCATTCAGATTGGAAATGAAATACTTTTTTCCTTCATTTCCAAGGCATATAATAATAGCAAATTGCTAGAATGGCAGACCAGATTCCCTAGCAAAATGAATTTTAGGTTTCTCACATGGGGTGTGCATGCGTGCGTGCGTGCACACACACACACACACACACACACACACACACACACGGTGGCCATACTCAGGAAGTGTAGGTCATTTTCATTGTCCCATTCTGCCTCTCTGCTCTCACCCAAGCAGGAAGTCCTAAGGAAATGAATGAGACACCAAGTGCAGAAAGAAGAGCCAAGATCTCCTGACTTCTCTGGCTTGGCCTCTGAGCCAGGCCACCTGGCAGATAGAACACAGTCAGTACAGCAGACCAGACCCCAGGACCCGGGACCCGGCCCCCAGCCTTGACCTTGAATTTCACTTCTCACTCAAAGGGCTCCTCTTTGCACAATGAGTCTTTATGAAAGCTCATAATGATGGGAAATGAGGACATTCTTGTGCTGGGCTTTGTGTTGCTTGTTGTATAGATTAAACACATTCATTTGTAGACCCTCTGTTATGGAGATGGGACAAACTGGCATTTCTTTCTTATGTGAAATGCCTTCCCTGATCATTCATGGGAAAATAAGTTGCTCTTTTATTAAAGCACTAAGTATGCAAGTTTCTCCCATGAACACGTCACAGCAGATACAGCCAACTTGTGAAGCACGCTCTGCTGCCCCCTACAGGAGCCCCACCGCACACAAGCCAGGGCACTGAGGGCACATTAAAGTTTACCTCTTTGAACCAAGCATGGTGGCACATACTCGTAATCCCAGCAGTTGGAAGAAGATGAAGGAGCATCACGAGTTCCAGGCCAACCTGGGGTACCTAGTGACATCTTTGTCTCAAAAAAAAATGTCCATCTTGGCAATAAAAATAATTATATCCCAGATCCAAAAGAGACTCCACAACACCCAGTTAAAGGAACAAGGAACTTGATGACAGTCGCACGGGGTCTGCTTCCTACTACTGGGAAAGTAGAAGAATGGCCTTGAGCTCAGGGTAAGATGGGTTTTTAGAGGGGTGGTTCCTTGGAGTTACATAGATGAGCCTCTGCAAGGCAGGTTTGGCACATTTTCATTGGTTATAGTTAAATGACCTTTAAATTCTTTTGTTCTTTATGGTAAATATCACACTAATAATTTTCAATAAGCCCATAGTGGGACTACTCGGTGGTGGTCTTTAACTGGTGGGCTTAAGGCCTTGCTACTGAGACAAGCACGCAAGGTTACCAAAGCAACACCATAGCCTTGAATCACAAGAGCATAGGCAACACATAATCTGGACTTGGTCAGCATGACTGATACTATCAATGTTATTGACACTATTGATATTTGATTACAAAAAGTCTGTGGATTACAGAAGTCAAAATACAACATGAGGTGGGGGTGATCTATTTTACAGGAACGATTTTTATTCTAAGCTCCTAATATAGCAACTCAGTGCAGCTGGCGATAAGCCTCAAGGTTGTCAGTAGCCTTCTGCAATGTTGGTAGCTTGATTAGCTTGAGGGAGAGTTGTTCTTCTGCTTTTTAGCAAGGATGGAAAAGAGGCAAAGGCTGACTACTGGTCAGCCTTTATCTGGCGTTTTCTTTTCCAAGAGGATTTGCCCTTTGTCAATAATTCTGTTCTGATTTCTGATTTCACAGTTTAGTTCTCATGTATATCCTTCTTTTCCAAGGGAAAGGGGGTGGGGGTTCAGGGGAGAGTGAATTTCCAAGAGGGTGTGAGGCCAGACAATAGAAGGAACTTTCTGGCAATGAATAGCAACTCAGATATTACAAAAGTAAATAAAATAAAACAAAAAATAAATGTTAAAAATGTCCTTTACAGTTATTAGCAATTTAAGCAATAAATGTGTGTTTTAAGGGCTACTGTTAATTATGGGAATATATAATATATATGTGAAATATATATATAATACATAACATATATGAAAGCTTCACAGGTTCCCACCCAGCATCTGGCCCGTGGGGCTCAGCTCTCTTTGATCTGGTGCAGCCCATAGCTCATGGCACCAGCACCTTGCTCTTCTACTCCTTTTTCAAGGCTATCATGGGCAAGGGTGTGCTCGTGGAGCTCAGGACTAACCTGAGCATCTATGGAACCCTCCATTCTGTGGATTCTATCTCAACATCAAACTGACGGACATCAGTGTCACAGGGCCTGAGAAATATCATCACAGTTTATCAGGGGAGAACCGCTCCCTCCGGGGCTCAGTGGCCCACTCTGTGCGGTTGCCAGCAGATGAAGTGGACACACGGTGGCTACAGGATGCAGCCAGAAAGGCAGCCCTGCAGCACAAACAGCCTCCTGCTCTCCTTCCCCTCCCTTGTCCATGGGTGATCCTAAGTTGACGTCCCGGCAAGGAATCCTTTCTTCTATACATAAGATTTTTTTGGTAGTCATTTTGTTTAAGGGATTGGGTGGATGAGAGGAATAATCGTATAATAATTCAGGCAACTATCTCCCTACCCCATCGAGGAGGGATAGACTGGGGAACTACAAAGCCTTCCCAGTTCCCAGCACGTGTCTTTCTAGGGCAGCACATGGTTCATTTGGGGGAATGGAAGACATCTGTCCCGCATCGGAAATAAAAATTCATAAAGCAAAAGTTTAAAAATAAGTAAACCCACGTTTGTACTGAGAATACCCACATTCATCATTAAACAATGCAGACTAATGACTATGGACATAGCACTTACCTCCTCTGAGTATCATATTCGTTATTATGAGTAATCTAGATACGAGTTAAAGCCCACAAGAGATTTGTGTGGGTTCTGTGCAGGAACTACGCTGATTTCTATCTGCTGACGAGGATTTGGGTAGCTGAGGGGTTTTTCAGGAATAATACAACCATCACATGATAAAAGGATGTAAAATCTGAAAGGTAAGGGAACTTTAGACAAAGTGGGCGCGCTGGGAACAATTTGGCCGTGCATAATGATGTTACGTGTGTATTAAGTGAGGAATGCTATAAGGGTGTTTCCCCTCTAGTTATAAAGAAGATTTTAATAAACAGACTAGAAAAGCTAGACAAGGTGTGTGGGATCTCTGCAGTCATCTGCTGGCCGTGGAACTTGAGTTTGTGCATGGGTCACAGG